CCTCTCTATACGCCCCCAACTACCTCCCTCTTTACCTTTGCACTTTTTTTATGTTGTCATCGGTATTTCTGACATGCAGGCAGGAATGTTACATGTGACTCAGCATCTGATCTTCTTATCACCCTATCCCTGCAGAATGTAGGTACAGGGAGATGCGGAGGAAGAAGCTGCTTACCTCCAATGGGTATAGCAGCGGTAGCTGCAGCAGGCAGGGCGCTGACATCCAGTGCTGCCAGCAAGGGCCCAAGGGTAGAGGCTGCAGGACCCAGGGCAGCTGGGGATAAGAGTGCGAGCCCTGGGGAAGAGCATAGGGTCAGAGATCAGGGGAGGGCTCAGTGGCCCTATCCTTGGATTCAATGCTGGGCAGTCTGTGTCCTGGAAATTGGGAGAACCCTGGGGTTCCACCATCTGTCTCTAAGATGGAGAGGAGAAGGGCAGTGGGTATGGGCTGGGGAGTGCCTGGCCACACTAAGTGAGGACAGGAAACTCCCTTGGGATGCTGGCTGGTTTCCAGAACCCAGTTCTCCTGGATGTGAAAAAGACCAATCCAAGGAGAAGTACAACACACTCTCCAGTGCAAGGAAACTTACGCATACAATGCCAGGCGGTCTACAAAAACCCATGTGAAAGCCACACTGGCATGCAACGTGAGGGCAAGGTTGATCTGAGGACAGGAAATTGGGAATGAGGGGTAAGATAAATGATTGAGAGTAAGTGGAAGAAGGGGGGCGGGGGCTGTGTGTTACAAAAGCTGATGAAGAAAAGAGGGTCTGAGCTGAAGAGTTTTGTGCAGATCACTGTCCTGGACAAAGCTCTCAGAAAGGCTGGCCAGATGGACTTTGCTGACAAGGGGACATTTCGATAAAAGCTGAAAGGAGGGGGATTGTTGAGCCAGTCCAGAGCATGTTGAGAGTGGGAGAGAGATGGGCAGGTGACCTCTCTGAAGAGGCATGAGGAGGCCCAGGTTGTGCACCAGGCATCTCAAGGAACTCCTAGGCCTGAGCCCTGAGGGACCCAGAGCCCCACACCCACATCCGGGCCTTTTCTCCCTCAGGGAGAGAATATGGAGGAGAGTGTATGTAGGTGGGAATCATGAGCAGCTGAGAGGGCAGGATTCTCTACCCTCCCTAGCTGTCCACATGCCCCTCAACCCCAGCCCCTCATATTTGACAGGAACACTTACCCTTTGAGGAAAGACCAGCCAAGATAGTCCCGGAGGCCACCCCACCAGCCTTGGCCAGGGTGGCTGCTGCTGTGATCTTAGATGCTAATGAAGACACTAACATGCTTGCTCCTGCCAATTCCATGTTGAAATCTGACAAAAGGGTACAGTTTGGTAGGGGAATGGAACTCCAGAATTGGCCTCCTGCTTACTGCATCTGGGGTGGATGGGGAGCCCCTTGTAATCTGGTGAGGGCAGTGGCTGAAATGGGTCTTAGGATGCAGGAGGCAGGGAAGTAAAGGCTGGGATTGCCAAAGGCCCTGTGTTAGGGCTGGGAGGGGTACCCCAGTGGAATGGTGCCTTTCTCTAAAAGCCCCAGAGCCCACTTCTCCACACTCGGGGTCTCTCCTTAAGTCTCCACACATTGATTTAAAAGGCAGCAGGACACAAACAAAGCTACTGCCCAGTTTACTGAGACTCCCTACCCCCTAACAGAAGAAAGCTGGAATCCATCTTCCCTTTGATAGGGGAGGAAGTCGGGGCCAGTTTAGACAGATGTAGAAGGCCCCAGGACAAAGCAAGACCCAAGCCTGGCCAGCTGTTTCCAAATGCCTGGCTGGCCTGGCTCTCATCCTGTCCCTCCTATGGCCTGTCCCCTCTGCCTACTTCACCTCCACCTACCCTAAAGGCTTCTGGGAATCCCAGGCAAGCACAAAGGCTATTATTGTTCCCAATCCCTGAGTGGGAATTAGGTGAAGGTGGGGTGTGCAGCCGGTTTTATGAACCTACCTTCAGTTGTAGCGCCCTGGTAAGAACAAATGAGCTGTGGAGAGGGAAGTCACTCCTCCCATCTGTGAGGACACTGAGTTTGGGGGCTTCAGGCAAGGGCAGCCCCTGCCCACTCTTCTGGCTTTTCCCAGGGAAGGAGACTTCCTGCAACCATGAAACTTACCTCTGTCTTGTTCCTTTCTGAAAGTGACCCTGCCAGAGTCTGTTGGAAGATATGTAAGAAGCCCCTGCTACTGAACAGCCCTCCTACAACAGTTCAGAACCAATGGGATAGGGAGGTTTTGTTGTTGTTGCTGTTGTTTGTTTGTTTGTTTTGTGGGTCGTGGACCTGACCTCTGGGCCTGGGCGCTGTCCCTCAGCTCTTCAGCTCAAGGCTAGCGCTCTACCACTTGAGCCACAGCACCACTTCTGGCTTTTTCTGCTTATGTGACACTGAGGAATTGAACCCAGGGCCTCATGCATGCAAGGCAAGCACTGTATCACTGAGCCACTTTCCCAGCCCTGGGATAGGTTTTGTTCACCCAAGAAACTGAAACTTATCTTTTCCTCCTTACCTCTCCCTTCCCCTCACTCTTTCCTTTCCTTCCTCCCTCCCTTCCTCCTTCCCTTCCCCTTCCCTCTTTCTCTCCTAAATTTGCTCCTCCAAATACTCCCCAATTCTCATGAGGTCTTGCCTCACTTTAAGTTCAAAAGCAACAAAGCTAACAAAGTCCTTTGAAACCATAAAACAAATCAACCTTTCCTCCTTTAAACCTGATTTTCTCACAGTAATGGAAAGCCAACTAGCACGGCACCCCCTCGGAGCCCACATCTCCAGCTCTCTGTTGTTGGTCCATCCCCACAGCAGACCTCAAGAACCACAGGGGCAAAAGCTCAGTCAAGTCCTCGCAGTCCCTAGCACCCAGCTGACTGCCTGATCCCACTCTCTTTCAAATAGGTGTGTGGGCCTGAGAGTGAGTCACATGTGAGATTGTTTTCCAATGTTCTGGAACTGACCCCCATTTCTGATGAGAAGTTTCAAGGATACCCTCTGGTGTCCGTGTGTTGGGGGTGGCGGGGGGCGGGGCCGCGGATAATGCAGAACAGGCCCTGGCTTTGGCCATCGGCACAAAATGAAGCACTGAGGAATGAGCTTTAACTTTGGGAGGGTGCAGTGGCCCCTCTGAGGCTGGGACTGGCCACTGTATATACAGGGGCTGGGCTGGGACCAGGATAAGGACAACAGGCTCTGGCTTTTGTGTCAGGAGCAAACACAGCACACACAGCCTCCCAAGGATTGAGCTCAACCCCCTCCTGTCTGAAAGGTGGGAAATCAAGGAGTTCCACACTCCGTTTAGGCAGGGACTAACAGGGGCCTGGGGAGAAGGCCAGCTTCCTAGAGTTACACACAGGGTAAGGTCAGGGCCAGGGGCGTGGGCAACTGGTATGTTCCCACTGAGGTCCCACAGGCCTCCCCAGCCATTTGCACACCCGAAGAAAGGCTCCACATGAGTTCACATCCACTTGTTAGTATTCCTTATTTTCTTATTTGTCTTGATTTCCTGAGTTGGTACATTAGTCTTTCCCCTTCCCCCTCCCTCTCCCTCAATAGATCAGGCCAGACTGAAGGCACCAACTCTGCTCTCATGATCCTCTTCTCCGCAAGGTGTGGAGGCTGGAGCTCTTAGAGGACTGCAGCCACCAGGGCAGACCCCACAGTGCCTACCAGACCTTTGGCTGACGCAGAGAGTCCGGCAGCTCCTGAGGAGGTAGAACAGGATAACCAAAGTGGGACCAGTGGGGCAGGAGAGAGAGGCAGAACTGCAGGGCCAGAGAGGGTGAGCAACACTGGAGAACCTCAGTAAGGCCTGAGACCTGGGACAGTCCTCTCCCCCTTTACCCATAAGCCCTTGCCACCCACCAGGGTCTGTGCCATTATCCCAGGAAGAGAACCCCAATGGAGACTGCTTAAATGAGACTGGAGCTGGGTCCTGACCTGGCCATGCCTGCTCCCTGGCTTCCCCCCCACACCCTGCCCAGGACACTCACCCATGGACTGCAGAGTTGCCACCATGCTACCCGCTGGGACGCCTCCCCCGTTGGCGATGGCAGTGATAGACATCATTTTGGCTGCGATGGAAGAGGCTGCGATTCCTGATGTCGTGAAGCCCACAGCTCCCAGTACCAATGGCACTGCTACCACAGCCGTGGCTGTGGGAAGAAGAGCCAAGTGGTGGGGGTGAAAGGGCAGCTGGGGGAAGGGGACCCCAGGTCTAGCCAGGGAACCTCAAAGGGTCTGGAGAAGGAGAGGCCGATTGGAGTGTGCCAGAGGTGTTAGGGCTCCACAGGAGGACCTGAGGCCCAGAGTCCCTGCAGAAGCCCCTCTGGCAGAGACACTGCTGAGGCCCTTGCTTTACTATGAGCCACTGGACAGTCCAGCAGGAAGCTGCTTTGCTCTGCAAGGAAGGCTGAGCACCAAGATTGAGGACACCACTCTGAAATCCAGCCTAAACCCAGCACACCCTGAGCCCTGGCTCTGCCCTGCCTGCTCCAACCCCCAGGGAGAACCCCAGAGACAGAAGGTGGATGCTGAGACACCAAGGTGCTGGCAGCAATCACACACCAAGGAGGAGGGGAGAGAAAGGTCCTGAGCCAGCTTGTGAGGGGCAGCAAGACCTTCTTGGGGAAAGTGGTATCTGGGCCTCAGTGTCTGCCTTGGTCCAATGCTAGGACAAAACAGTGGCTCAGATCTTTGCCTCTTCCTGAAGAGTAAGTGTGTTTACAGGAGCACAGTCAGCCTCCTAAGGAGGCAGCACGGAGCCCTGCTGAGCCTGCACAGGGCACAGCGGAAGCGGCTGAGCAGATGGCAGCTGAAAAGTACACTCTCAGCCAGTCCAATCCACCTTACATCCTATGTACATCCTTCCCAGAATCCCCCCAAAATTAGTGAGGGGGAACTGCTGCTGTTTATGGGGACTTCACATAACCTTGCACGCTGAAGAACTTTACACACATGTCCAAGGTCACAGAGTGCGTGCTGTGCCCAGAAGACACCAGCACTCAGCTCTCCCTCCTGGTGTCCAAGTTCCTTGTGTCTTAGTTCCAGCTCTTATTTTTAGCCACCTTGTTCATTCTATCCTCTCCCCCTCCACCACCTCTCTGAGAAGAACAGCAGCTCCCCAGCTGTCTGGGTTCAGGAGAAGGAGAGAACTTGAGTCCCTTTCTCACAGAGACTTACCTCCTCCTGCCACCACTGCAACAGTCTTGGCTACAAACAGAAAGGACATGATATGAGAGAAGCAGTTGGCCCCAGGCAGCTGCAAACACTTAAGCAGGAACAAGGAAGTGCCCAGAGCTGTATAAGCCCTCCTGGTATTTCCTAGATCAATGATGAAGCTGGTGACCCTGTATCTTCTTTACAGAATACACACCCTTTACCCAGGACCTGAGGATGTAATGACTCCTTTGTGCCCTTCCACTGGTGGTACTAAACAGGGAAGGTACTAAACACAATCGAGCTGTGGTTCTCCCCTTGCAAACAGCATGGGTGTATGACTTCCCACACTTGGGCCTCACCATGGTCACTCATCAGTTAGAAGAGGGCCAGAAGGACCTCTTTCCCTCCCCTGTCATGATTTTACACAACCTAATTACTCCACCTTATTAGCTAATAAAAACAAAAAACAAACCCTGACAACTCGGAAGCAGTCATCTCTGCTCTAAATTGCCTGCCCTCCATCTCAAGTGACTTTTGCTTTGCTAGTAAGTCATTTGCAGCCGTCTTTCTATTCTTGGGGGTTATTTGCCCTGATATCTTAATGCTACTCTGAAACAACAAAGATGTGCGCCATCTACTGGTGACAGATCCACAGGACCATCCACCTCAGCCAGCTGCCCATACATGGGAAGGGGGCTGGGCTCCCCAGAAAGGGAGGCCCTTTGTGTCATGCAGAGGATCAGGACTTCTTTTTTAAAGAAGTAAGGATTGCTGGGATGTCTGATTCACAGATAGGGTCCTGTCCTCAGTGAGTTTTCTCCCTTGACAAAGGGTCATGGGAGGTTGGGGGGGAGACTTGCCATCCAGGCTCCAGAAAATTCAAACATCTGATCTAAGTTTCACTTTGTTCTTGTTTATTTGCCTACTAGCTGGCTGGGGCTACTGGTGGAGAAATCATTAGTATGTTTTTATTTCCCCTATCTCCTAAGTCTTCTTAGTTTCAAATAAGAGGCTAAGCAATAATAAACAAAGCCTTGTGCATGCAGCAAGAAAAGCATATGACTGTGCTGTTCTGAGCATGGTTCAAAGGCATTAGCTGCTTTTGAATTGCTGGTGGCAACACCAGACCAGCTGGGGTGAGGTTTCCAGTGCTTCTGGTTGTGCTGGCCTTCCCCTGTGCTGTGGGGACAACTTAGCACCTCCTTTCCACTTGTTATTTCATGAAGGGACACACCCAGCCTTCCTCCCTGCCTTCGACACTGGACATTGCGACAGTGGTAAATGGTTCTTGTTGATAAAAGTGTCAGGGACAGCTACTAGCAGAGAGGGTATCTGGTAAAATTGAACTGGTATTATTGTAGTCCTATGTATTGCTCAGTCATAACTTAGAGATTGGTCTGCATTTCTCCTCTTATTTTTTATTGGTACATATTAATTGTACATAAGGATTTCCCTGTGACAGGTCCTTACATGTATATCACCTACTTTATCGCACTCATCCTCTATTACTTTTTTCTTATCCCCTCTCCTTTTATTCATAGTTTTTCATAGGTTTCATTCTTCTGTTCTCATACATGCATGTCAAAGGCCAATCTCTCCAACAGCCTCACCTTTTCCTCTCCTCCCTCCTCTCTATACGCCCCCAACTACCTCCCTCTTTACCTTTGCACTTTTTTTATGTTGTCATCGGTATTTCTGACATGCAGGCAGGAATGTTACATGTGACTCAGCATCTGATCTTCTTATCACCCTATCCCTGCAGAATGTAGGTACAGGGAGATGCGGAGGAAGAAGCTGCTTACCTCCAATGGGTATAGCAGCGGTAGCTGCAGCAGGCAGGGCGCTGACATCCAGTGCTGCCAGCAAGGGCCCAAGGGTAGAGGCTGCAGGACCCAGGGCAGCTGGGGATAAGAGTGCGAGCCCTGGGGAAGAGCATAGGGTCAGAGATCAGGGGAGGGCTCAGTGGCCCTATCCTTGGATTCAATGCTGGGCAGTCTGTGTCCTGGAAATTGGGAGAACCCTGGGGTTCCACCATCTGTCTCTAAGATGGAGAGGAGAAGGGCAGTGGGTATGGGCTGGGGAGTGCCTGGCCACACTAAGTGAGGACAGGAAACTCCCTTGGGATGCTGGCTGGTTTCCAGAACCCAGTTCTCCTGGATGTGAAAAAGACCAATCCAAGGAGAAGTACAACACACTCTCCAGTGCAAGGAAACTTACGCATACAATGCCAGGCGGTCTACAAAAACCCATGTGAAAGCCACACTGGCATGCAACGTGAGGGCAAGGTTGATCTGAGGACAGGAAATTGGGAATGAGGGGTAAGATAAATGATTGAGAGTAAGTGGAAGAAGGGGGGCGGGGGCTGTGTGTTACAAAAGCTGATGAAGAAAAGAGGGTCTGAGCTGAAGAGTTTTGTGCAGATCACTGTCCTGGACAAAGCTCTCAGAAAGGCTGGCCAGATGGACTTTGCTGACAAGGGGACATTTCGATAAAAGCTGAAAGGAGGGGGATTGTTGAGCCAGTCCAGAGCATGTTGAGAGTGGGAGAGAGATGGGCAGGTGACCTCTCTGAAGAGGCATGAGGAGGCCCAGGTTGTGCACCAGGCATCTCAAGGAACTCCTAGGCCTGAGCCCTGAGGGACCCAGAGCCCCACACCCACATCCGGGCCTTTTCTCCCTCAGGGAGAGAATATGGAGGAGAGTGTATGTAGGTGGGAATCATGAGCAGCTGAGAGGGCAGGATTCTCTACCCTCCCTAGCTGTCCACATGCCCCTCAACCCCAGCCCCTCATATTTGACAGGAACACTTACCCTTTGAGGAAAGACCAGCCAAGATAGTCCCGGAGGCCACCCCACCAGCCTTGGCCAGGGTGGCTGCTGCTGTGATCTTAGATGCTAATGAAGACACTAACATGCTTGCTCCTGCCAATTCCATGTTGAAATCTGACAAAAGGGTACAGTTTGGTAGGGGAATGGAACTCCAGAATTGGCCTCCTGCTTACTGCATCTGGGGTGGATGGGGAGCCCCTTGTAATCTGGTGAGGGCAGTGGCTGAAATGGGTCTTAGGATGCAGGAGGCAGGGAAGTAAAGGCTGGGATTGCCAAAGGCCCTGTGTTAGGGCTGGGAGGGGTACCCCAGTGGGATGGTGCCTTTCTCTAAAAGCCCCAGAGCCCACTTCTCCACACTCGGGGTCTCTCCTTAAGTCTCCACACATTGATTTAAAAGGCAGCAAACAAAGCTACTGCCCAGTTTACTGAAACTCCCTACCCCCTAACAGAAGAAAGCTGGAATCCATCTTCGCTTTGATAGGGGAGGAAGTCGGGGCCACTTTAGACAGATGTAGAAGGCCCCAGGACAAAGCAAGACCTGAGCCTGGCCAGCTGTTTCCAAATGCCTGGCTAGCCTGGCTCTCATCCTCTCCCTCCTATGGCCTGTCCCCTCTGCCTACTTCACCTCCACCTACCCTAAAGGCTTCTGGGAATCCCAGGCAAGCACAAAGGCTATTATTGTTCCCAATCCCTGAGTGGGAATTAGGTGAAGGTGGGGTGTGTAGCCCGGTTTTTTCTGAAAACCTACCTTCAGTTGTAGCTCCCTGGTAAGAACAATTGAGCTGTGGAGAGGGAAGTCACTCCTCTCATTTGAGAAGACACTGAGTTTGGGGGCTTCAGGAAAGGGCAGCCCCTGCCTCCCATACTGGCCTTTTACAGGGAAGGGGACTTCCTGCAACCATGAAACTTACCTCTGTCTTGTTCCTTTCTGAAAATGACCCTGGAAGAGTCTGCTGGAAGATATTTAAGAAGTCCCTGCTTCTAAATGGCCCACCCTCAATGACAGCCAATGGGATAAGTTTCATTTTCCCAGGAAACCGAATCTTATTTTCTCCTCCCTACCCATACCGGTTACCACCCTTTCTCTGTTTTGGAGAGCAAATCCAGTTATTATAGAATAATGAGTTGGCCACCGTATGTGTTTTTTCCTATCTGGAAGGAAATGACCTAATCCCAGATTTCCCAAGAGAACACACAGAACAAAGTATTAAGACAGATACAGGATTTCTAATTTTCTTACCAGGACAAAATAGCCTATACAAATAACCAAGTAAATAAGATTAGGATACATTTATCAGAAATAAACAAAAGGCGGGCTGGGAAGGTGGCTCAGTGGTAGAGCGCTTGCCTTGCATGCCTGAGGCCCTGGGTTCGATTTCTCAGCACCACATAAGCAAAAAATTTTAAAAAAAAAAAAGAAATAAACAAAAGGCCTCCAAATAAACTCATCTCTGCCCTTCACCAAGTGGTACATAAAAGAGCAGCTGATGCTGGTCTTCATGGAAAGACAAGAACAAGTCCCTGGAACACAAGTGATCCCAGCAGCTTCAGGGGAATTGAGACTAGCAAATCTTTGCTGAGAATATGGCTATTTCATTGCTTGTTGAAGGTTTGCCTTTACAGGTTTTCTGTAGCCATTACAGGCAGGTTCACCGAGGGACAGAAGACTCCTACAAGTTTGTCAGATTTAACTTTGGTTCTTAGTAAGTTCCAGGTAAGCCATGCTTAAAAACAATTTCTATTATCTCCAGTGTTGTAAAGGGGCTGTTGGTATAGACTCATTTGATCTGTGGACTACAGTTCAAAGCCAGCTTGGCAGAAGGGTCCCTGTGAGAATCTCATCTCTAATTAACCAGCAGAAAGAATGCTTGAGGTGACTCTATGGCTCAAAGTGGTAGAGTTCATGCATTGTGCCCAGGCTCTGAGTTCAAAAACCTCCTAAGACTTTTGTTGTGTGACATTCTTTCTGTAGCACACAGATTTGTAAACCTTACCCAGCCTGACCTGGGAAAGTATTGCTCGTTATATTTAAGTTCAAAGATTCCTGACTATATGGGTATCAGTCACATGGAGCCATCTTTGATTGACTCCTTAAATTATGGCTGGGATCCGCCCAGGCAAAAACTAAAGGGGAACTCTGGACAGCCTTAGGAAAAACATGTTGTTTTACAAGAGAGCCTATTTGGTAGACTTTGGTTAAAGTAACTTGGTTAGGCTCTTGGCCATAAGGGCCCAATACAGCTGTCTCACTAGGAAATCAATGATTTGATTTCATGTACATAAAATTAGTGGGGAATGAAATAAGGATATTAAATCTAAGTAATGCTATCCTAGCATCATGATAGAAGTTAATAGAAGATGGGGACTTTCTGAGAACTCTAGAGGTTTCAGAGGACATTCTTTGGATTGCAAGTATTTCATAGGTTGTTGGTCTCCAGGAAGCTCATGCTCCCTCTAGATAATTGGGGTCCTAATTGCCGCTGATTGTGCCCCTGGATCGTCATCTCTGCCTTTATATGACGCTTTAATTATTATCCTCATCCAGCTGTTTCATGTGTAACACTTTTGTAAGATTTAAGTAACGTTATCCAGTTTTCTCTGCCTATGTATAACACTTTTGTTAAGGCTGTTAATGCCTGATCTCCATCCCAATTCTGTCTTTAAAAGCCATGTGCTAGCTCTGTTCCGGGTTCTAGGTCTTTGAGACAGGAGTCTACCTACAGTGTCCAGCTTTCTAACAAGTATTCCTGATTCAATTCTACCTCTTAAAATGTGGCTTCTCTGTTTTCTCACATCTGAATTCCTGGAATTACCTTACAACATTTATATACATACATACATACATAATTTTAAAAACAAATATTAAGGGCCATGCTCACAAATTGGAACCTGGTGGTAACTAACAAAACAGTTGGGCTTCCCTCCATTTAATGCTAAGTTACAAGAAGCCTTAAAGGGGTTAGCTAGCTAAAATCACCCTCTCCTTGGCAACTCTTTGTGAATGGATACAGTAAGATCTGAAGCTTATTTGAGGAAAGCCAAGTCCTGAAGCTCACCTATAGTCCCTACATTTTGGGTAGACCCAGAGACAGCTCCATATTTTAGGATACTAAGTTATGCTCATCTTGGCTACCAAGAACCCTTACCTAAAAGATGGGGGGGGGATTATATAGAACAAAGGCAGCCTGTAACAGCCATTTTGAGTCTTTAGCTCCCATTTCCTGCTTAGAGAGGAAGTAATGTTTTTCTTTCTTTTTCTTTTAACTTGTCGTAGTAACATAAATTCTCAGACTCACCTTCTGAGACTTTCTTTTTTGTGAAACACCCTGAAATGCTTTTCATGTGAGGATCTCAAGGACCTGTGACTTTGTGTGAAAACTGGGAAGATGGGGGGGGGGTGCCGTTATCCATTCTTGGGTGACATTTATACTTCCTGCATCCCTTGCTCATTTCATTGCTCTGCAGCCTTTGGCTTATCAGCTTAACTTGCCATCAGCAAGTTGTGAAAGTCCTTGCTTTCCTGATTGCCTGCTTTCCCAGTAACTCCTATCACAAGTAACGGTGATCGGTTTCACTTTGTTGTAAGTGTAATTTGGATCCAATTCTATTTTATAGAACTGTTGGAATGCCTCAAGAGTTGAGGTACTACATTGAAATAAGGCTGCTAGCTATAAAGGAATTTACAGAAGGGCATGCTACTGATAGGAAACTAATTAAACAAACATGCCCAGTGGGCAGTCTGCCAAGATTTTATTCCTCTGGTTCTGACAGTCAAACTTAGGTTCACAATCTTGCACCATTCACCAGTTTTGAAAGGATTTTTCTGAGCATTTACCCAAAAACCAGGATACCTAGCCAAAACAGGAACTTGTTAGGAAAACAAGGAATGGGGCCTAACTAAAAATGTTTCTTGTAAGATGGCCAAGACCCTTAAAAAGGGTGGTGCTTAGGTCAAACAACTACTTTTGACAGAGTCTAACTCTTACAGTACATAAACCGATGAGAAAATGTGCTTTTGTTGTTTAAGTATTTATATAGAGAAACCATTTCTTCCTGGGTTTTCATTTAAAATATAAGGCAAGGAAGGCACCAAGTCTCCAGGCTGTCATTCCAGCTATGGTGGAAAGCTAAAGAGAAGGCGCACCGTGCAGACCAGTCCCAGCAGAAAAAAGAAGGCTAAAGTGCCTAACTCAGGCACTTACCCAGCAAGCACAAGGCCCTGAGCTCAAACTTCAGTGCTGCCAAAAATGTATGCGAGGCTACTAAGTGTATCTTGTTTTGTTAGAAAATAATTTTTAATTTAAATTCAGAGTTTTGTAAGTTTTTTTGTTTTGTTTTGTTTTGTTTTGTCTGTCCATTGTGGGGCCTGAGCTCTGGGCCTGGGCGCTGTCCCTGAGCTCTTCAGCTCAAGGCTAGTGTCTACCACTTGAACCACAGCGTGACTTCTGGCTTTTTCTGCTTATGTGGTGCTGAGAAGCGAATCTAGGGCTTCATGCATGCAAGGCAAACACTCTACCACTGAGCCACCTTCCCAGCCCCGTGAGTTGGTTTTTTTTTTTAATTTATTTTTTTCAGGGGAACCAGAAAGCAGGAAAAAATATAAAAAGGTATAAAAACATGTTGTGAAAAACCAAGTTTGCAAAACATGCTTTTAAATGAAAAATGATTTCTAAAAGAAAACAAAAGTAAGCTTTGTCCTAAAGAGGGTTTCAAAATGGATAAAAGAAAATTAAGCATAAATAAATTGTCAGGCTAAAGGGAAATTGTACAGGGTTTGAAAAGATATAAAATGATAGACAGTGAGAGACAGGGTGATTTATAAGAAGTGTATGAGATATGTAATTAAATTTGCTGTAATTTGAGAATTACCTGCAGAATTTCCTAAGGTCAAAATTCAATACAGTGATGCAAAACTAAGCCTTGTCCCATGGTTTCCCTTATTTGCAATAACTAGCATATGTCTGAGACAAGCAGAAACAGTCAGATATTAGGTGAAATGAACCCCAAGATAAGGACTCAAATGGTTTTTCTTGCTTGCTATTGTTTCTAACATATTTATAAGATGATTTCTTTGTTGCTTTGTATGTCCCTCCCCCACGGTATAACCCCTGTTTTCACTGTATTTGATGTTGGTATAATTTGGGGAGGGGAAGGGAAAAAACAAATTGTTTAAATAGGGATACAGGTGGACCCATTGCAACAATGAAATGTATAAGATGTTATGTCAAAAAACAAACTTTACTACTTTGGTGGGGGGAGAG